CCGCTGCATACGCCGCCCCCATTGCTGCCGCCGCCCCCGGTCTCCTGGGAGTAGCTTACTCTGCCGCCCCCGCTGTAGCTCACATCTCCTACAGCAACGCCTATGGCATCAACTACGCCTACTAAATTCTCTCCAGTCGCTACTTATCCTCTTATTTTCCCTAATTATGACACTTTTCCTTCCGTTTCCTTCTACAGAATTAAAATATATTGTATATTTCTTCTGCGTCTTTCAGTCAAGACTATTATAATTTATTTATTATAAATATAAATAAATAATTGTTCAAACAAACCTGTCAGAATTAATCACATTTTCCTAATACACAGCAGTGAGTATGAATATTTCTGTCTCCTGGGTTGTTGCGCTGTGTAGTCTGGTCGATGTTTACCAACGTTTTAGAGGTCATACTGCCTCCGTAATCAGGGCGATGAATGTGCCAATTGGCAAAATATGAACAGCCAATGCCACTCAGATTAAAAAATGGTAGTCGACCCTCGGTGCAGACGACAATAATCGTTGGTATTTATAACTTGTGTTGGGCAAGGCCGTGGTCTAGGCAACACGGAGTTTTCCTCCGGGGGCTTCCCCGGTTTCTCCGTGGCATCCCATTCACACACAGAAGAAGGCAATGGCAAATCACTTCTGGATCATCTGCCAAGAACGTATATGAACAGGTCCCAGTCCGAGAAAAGGATGGAAGGATCCTGTTCATATGGACCTGTCATCAGACAGAACACTAAATAATAATAATAAATAACTGCAGTCCATACATCACTGAATTCGTCCAGAAATACGAAGAATACGTAGTCTGGATTCGAATCGGGGGCTCTACGACTGCATGTCTCATGTGGTAACGTTTTACCAATGTGCTTTCATTTTATCACGCCCCGAGCAGCATGTGGCGGTTGCTCTGTGCGGATTTCTGGAGGCTCTCAGGACATTCTAACCCTGACCTCCTTATTAGCGCCTGTGGATGGTCAGGCGCTATTACGCAATAGGGCGCGGCTTGTTCTTGCCTCTGAGAACAAGGACTACTGAGCCCTCGAACCTTTTCTAGCGCAAGTTCAGGTTTAGAGGTAAAACGAGATACTTTTTCAGTCTTTGCTTTCAAGCTCCTTAAGCATATGATGTACAGTCCTTCAGGTGTTGATAATACGCTCAGATGGACAACAAAATATCAAAATTTATGGAAAACTGAAGCTTCATTACTGCGTTCACAAGAGCCCGCCACCGTTCCCTATCAGATGAATCCAATCAACACCATCCAAACCTATTTTCCTAATGTCCAATTTAATATTATCCCCCTTTCTCCGCCTATGTATTCCGATGGTTTCTTTCCTTCGGACTCTCCAACCATAATTTTGTATGCAATTCCTATGTCCACAATGCGAACTGCATGCAACCCCTATATCCTCCATGAAACATTTAGCGAAAAGTACAACCTATAGAGTTCTTCATTAAACGATGGCTAAAGGAAAACCGAAACAAAATCATTACGATAATCTCCGAGTCTAGTTTGCAACCGGAGACTTCCTGAATAAGAACCAAGTTGGAAAGGTGCTACATACTCTTTGGAATACGCTGAGATTCCAAGAACGTTATTCACGCCAAATCACGTGCCTCATTATTGCACTGTCATACTAGATCGGTGTTGCGAAAGAGATAAAAAGTGACCTGACCTTTTAGCAACTGTTGCATAACAATGAGATATTCGGGTATTGTTGCTGAGAAACGAGATAGATAGACAAATATGGATATCGTCAGGGCTTAACCGAATTTCAGACCTCAACATGGGGGCAATTATGTTCCTTCCGAAACGTTACAGTCCAGGAGAAAAACATTAATTGTTAGTAGAACGTAGGTTTCTGAAGAGGATCTACTCATAGACCAAAATTCAATCGAGGCAACAATTCTATAAATCGATTCCCTTTACTGTTATTGTCACTGTATCCTGATGAAAATTATACACTGTAATAGAATCTAGGGCAGACTGTGAAGAACATTCCAGTTCTACGTAATTCAGATCCGTGATCTCACGACAGGTGTGTGAGGTAAGTGCAGGCAATTATCTAGCCACTGAACATGAAACAACCTTCAGGCAACATAGAGACCTACCTCATTCTATCTGCAAGCAATGGTCACAAAATTAGGACCTAACGTTGTTCTGATTACATCGTGCAATAAAAAGTAGGTAAAACGGCATTGTCGAATTGCTCTTTTAATATCAACTCAATAGAACCGAATCTTTCTTAATAAACTTCTCACCTCATCATGAAACAAGAAGTTTCGTTATCGTCTTAACAAAAGACCACCACCGGTCTCTGCTCAATTTTACATCTATTTTAATATTATACTATCATCTACACCTCTTTATGAAGTGCGAAATACATTCACAGTCTACCTATGGTGGCATTCGAAGCAACGGTCCTTGTATTCCATTGCTAAAATATGGAATCAAAATACATTGGGCTGACGTAAGTTCCTTCCAAGACATGTTTGGCAAGAGAGGTATGTTTTTGATACCCCTGACTGAGTAATTTTCTTGCGAATTGCAAACATGAAATTGCCTTAAGGTTGCAGCATGTGTTAGCTTTGTAACTACAGTACCAGTTCTATGAACACATTGCATGGGGTCAGCTTACAGAATGTTACATTAAAAAGCACAGGGTAATTACAAGTGAAAAGTATGAATGAGAATAAGCGTTAAAGTTGTTTGTAAAACCATTAAAATATTGGGCCCTTCTCTGTACAAACATTGATCACTGTTATCTGTGACATAAATTTCATATTGAAATTTGGAGCTGGTCGAGGCGAACAACTTCAATATGAAGCTTAAAAAACACATTATTGAACTACAAATTTTGTGTTTTATTTCCATCGACTCTTAGAAATTTAATATAACAGAATCTCTAAACTGTGCAACTCCGTTGGAAACCAAACTGTTCACTTTGGACATAGGAGATTATGTATTTTACAAATTACCCTGAGAAAAAAGAGTTCTTCAAAAACTGATGGGCATATTGTCAAGAAACTCCAACCCTTTTATGAAACCCGAGTGTCCATTACTGTGTTCACGGAAGTCCGCCATAGGATCATGTCATGAGCCACATAAATTCAGTCCGCAACACACACCATATTTTAATATTCATTTTGATATTATCCTTTGCCTAGCTGTCTCTTTTTTTCAGGTTTCCAGAATAAAATTTTGTGTGGGCCTACGTTTCTCAACTCCCCAGTCATGTAACATTCCTCACCCACATTATGCTTCTCGACTTGATCATCCTAATAATATTTGGTAAAATTATGAATCTTCTCATTTTGTACTTCCTTTCAACATCCTGTTACTTCCACTTCTTACATGTAAATATTTCCCTCAGCACTCCATCAATACATGTTCATCTCTTGCGATAAAAGACCAAGAATCACGCCTGTTCAGAATATGTGCGTTCATTGATAAAATTGACCGCAACTGTCTCTTCCCATCTCCCGGCTGAAACTGCATAACTCACCGCCAAGCGCAAGGTTTTTCCGATACCACTAAAGTATCGCTCCATAAAAACAATAAAATCAACTAAAGGTTTTCTCATCAGTTCCTCCTGGTAGCCGGAAAGTGACAGATGTTTTCTACTTTATCAGTGAACGCAGTGAGTTAGGCCTTTACTTTCTTAAATACGAGACGGAAGACGTTCTGGACGGAAAACTAGCAAGTATTCCTTGAATTAAGTCTGGTGTTAATTTCTTCTTGAATTTAATATTTGCCAGCTACGTTCATAAGACAGGACCCAGCCAACAGCAATTCATCAAGATCAGTGAACGGCGGATGTCGACAACTAGCCCCTAGGGTTAAGGATCAGAGGACCAAAGAGAAAAAACAGCAATGTGACCGCCAACGTCATTCGTCTCAAGTACGCAAATAATAACGATAATAATGTCCCCTCCTTTGCAGTCAGTTCCCCGGGGCGAGTGAAAGTAATGGCATCATTGTCTTCAGACTGTTCTTGTAGGAAATTATTTGGTCTTTAAATTACAGTCTATGTAGTGGTGGCAGCTGCGTATAAATACCTGACGAGGCAGCCACAAGTATCAGTGTTTCTACAGCAAACTACAAACTACAGACAAAGATGGCCGCCAAGGTGCGTACAGTCGTGTGCAGAGGGTCTCAGGCCCACTGGAGGATTACTCAAGAGATTGCGTATTGTGTAAAATATTTTTATCATAACTTTCTATCGAGGATTGGCTTCTCCGTATCTTTCTCGCTAATCATGAATCTCTCCTCCATTTTAATTAATAATTCAGGGTTTATTTTGATAATCTTCCGCCTCCCATTTGTAATGCAAATTACAAATCAATTTTTTCATACACCTGTATTGTAATTTATCATAATATGTTTATTCCATAAAAGCTTATTGGTAACTACACGTATCACCTACTTTAAAGATCAGTAATTGTGCCTACAAAAGGTATTTAATGGTTTAGTATGGTTCTCGGAGTACTTGACGAGTATTTCCCTATACATTGTTTTCTTTGAGGTAGGGATTGAACTATTTAACAACATTATTTAGACACTCTTCGACTCAAATGATTTAATTATTTTCCAATTAAATAAATTTTATTTCATATATTCTTTATCCTTCAGCCTTTAGATTCTATTTAAAATTTCATCTCTGCAGTTTAAATTTAATATTTTTCTATTAGTGCCCACCAACATCTCTATTTCATATAACAGTGTTACTATTGCTAAAACTTAATATGAAATAAGTCTCTGGTCTCGTAAGATTTTGATTCGTGTATTCATACTGAGCATACAGGACGAATACGACAACATGGAAGTGAAACTGTCGTATTAATTATCTACGATATAAAAAGCGCTGTATTTTCCAGTCTCTAGCGTGGCCTTTATTTCGTGTGAACATTGAAAACACAGAAAAAAAGGATGACTGTTCAATGCCTTCCAAATTTTCGTCTTATGCCGTCCAGAATAACCTGTTGCGGTCTCTTGTCTTTTTGCAAGGGGTTGGTAAAGAAATAGGGCACTACTGCAATCTATATTGCACACGAACCGACTAAGAGCCAGTTGGTGGTTTTATTTTGTACAACCCTTGTGTAATGGAGTATAGCCGCGTTCAGAAATGAAGGTAGCACAGGATTAAGAGAGAAAATAAATTAAGGAATGCTATCTGTTCGAACATATACTGTAGTACAAAACACACTGGTGTTTTCAAGTGATAGTGTAACAAATGGTGTGTGGGACTGCATAACATAAAATATTTTAGGCACTGAACATTCACATTTTGCACAAAAGGTGACGAATCTGACAACAGTTGTCAGTTATTTACATAATTTAAATTTATGTTCCCAATTCAACGAGAACAAACATTAATTTCCAACTCCTCTTGTAGTATTTTGGACAGTTTATACATAACTGGGACAATTCTCTAATTTCAGTTCATCCTCCTCGCTGCCCTGGTAGCTATTGCCAACGCCGGCTACCTCGGGGCCCCAGTTACGCTGCCGCCCCAGCTGTAGGTTACGCTGCCGCCCCCGCCATCAGCTACGCCGCCCCCGCGGCTGTCGCCACCCCCGCCATCACCTCCCAGCACTCCAACATCCTGAGGAGCTACGGTAACCTGGGACAGGTGTCCACCTACTCCAAGACCATCGACACACCCTTCTCTAGCGTTCGCAAGTCCGACGTCC